TGATGACATGAGCGGGACTTGCCCAGGTCTGGGTTGAATGTGATACACTGGGACAAGTTGAAGGGAGGGGGATTGGAACAGGGTGCTCCAGGGAGCATCATCTGTGTACAACAGGAAGTCCCTGAGCTTGGACACGTGACTTAATTATCTGTCACGAGGTTCAGAGCAAAACCCAGAAGTCCAGGCAATGATGCATTGAAACTGTCACTACCCAAGTTAGCATTTTCCAGTATCATTAAAAAATGTTTTATAGATGAGAGGTCTCGCTGTGTTGGTCAGGATGGTCTCGAACTCTTGATCTCAAGTGATCCTCCTGCCTTGGCTTCCAAGTGTTGGAATTATACTCATGAGTCACTTCCCCTGGCCTACAACACTGTTTTAAAATTTTTGATATATCTGTGACTTTTTGATTGTATCTATTTTGTTACTTTTATTAGAGAAAATTAACCTGGCCTGGTGAGGTGGCTTACATCTGTAATCTCAGCACTTTGGGATGTTGAGGTGGGCAGACAACATGGCGTTTCTCCTATGAGAGTCTGAGACTAGTTTGGACAAATGGTGAAACCGCCTGTAATAAAAACACACAAATTAGCCAGGCATGGTGATGGGTGTCTGTAATCCCAGCTAATCAGGAGGCTGAAGCAGGAGAATCTCTTGAACCCATGAGATGGAGATTGCAGTGAGCTGAGATTGTGCCACTGCACTTCTGCCTGGGCTACAGAACAAGACTCTGTGTCCAAAAAAGAAAAGAAAAGAAAAAGAAAAACCTTCAAAAGCAGATTTTTGTCACTGCACTAATCACTAACCATGGGGGTACAAGGACAAATAAAATGAGGGCAAAATAATTTATGCCTTGTTTTCTTTGCCTTTGACCTTCAGCCTCATGGATTCCTGCAAATGTTTTGCCCACAGCAAACGTCTGAAAACCTTAACTTTTTTGTTTTAAGTGAGATTTCCAAATGAATTGATGTTGTCTGGAAAGACAATCCCTTTCCTGGAGAGCAATTGGTATTTGAGGAGAATGAGATCAGGTTGCTAAGGACACCCTTGTTTGTAATCTTTGGTTTATATAAATTATTGGTGAATAAGAGAAATAAGTTTATTCTTTCTTCCAGATGGTAAACCGGAAGGGAAGTGTGTTACGGGGTAAAGTGAGTCATGGGTCGTGGGAGCTCAGATGAAACAGGGCTCTGGGGCGCTTCTCTCTCTTGGCTTGGGACCTCTACTTTACCAGGCCTCAAATGAAAAGATAAAGTTTTCTAATCTCGGTGGCAACAGACAACAATTCCTCTGGGTGGATGGATAGCGGAGGGAAGGAGGGAGTTTGCAGAAACTGAAAGAGGACTTTTTTTTAGAGAGAGAGGAAGAAATCTCTTGTTTAATTACAAAACAAAATATAATTTTCAGTGCCTTCTTTTTCCTACCAGTCGTTTAAGAAATTGACATGTAATTCACATACCACAAAATGCAGCAATTTAAAGTGTACCATTCTCCAGTATTTATTTGTTTTTGAGATGACGTCTTGCTCTATCACCCAGGCTGAACTATATGGTGTAATCTCGGTTCACCGCAACCTGCACCTCCCAGATTCAAGCCATTCTCTCACGTCAGCCTCTCGAGTAGCTGGGGTTAAAGGCGCTCTCCATCATGCCTGGCTAATTTTTGTATTTTTAGTAGAGACAAGGTTTCACCATGTTGGCCAGGCTGGTCTCGAACTCCTGACCTCAGGTGATCTGCCCACCTTGGCCTCCCAAAGTGCTGGGATTGCAGGCCTGAGCCACTGCTCCAACCTTATATTCTCAGTTATTAATTGTTTCATCAAAGAAGTAGGAAACCTGTATATTATTTATCTATTTATCTAATGTTAATGAGCTTTCTTATAACTAATGTTTCCATAGATATCTTTTTTCATCCTGTTGTTTTCATCTTGGCTGTGTTTTTGTAATTAAAGGGTGCCTCTTCTACACATTAGATAGGTGGGTCATGTTTTTGTTTGTGTTTCTTAAAATTCAGTCTCACTATCTGTTTCATTTGGAGTGTTTAGTTCACTTACAGTTCAATGGAATTTCTAACCTATGCCATTTGTGTGTGTGTGGGTGTGTGTGTGTGTTTTGAGGCAGTCTTGCTTTGTCACCCAGACTGGAGCGCACAGCGACATGATCTCAGCTCTCTGCAATCTCCGCCTCCCAGATTCAAGTGATTCTCCTGCCTTGGCCTCCTGAGTAGCTGGGATTATAGGTGTGTGCCACTGTGCCTTGCTATTTTTTTTTTTTTTTTTTTTTTTTTTGGTATTTTTGGTAGTGAGCCAGCATGCCTGGCGTATTTCTCTTTTGTTTTTTGTTTCGCCTTTCCTGCCTTCTTTTGGATAATTGGAGTGATTCTTCACATATCCTTTCATCTCTAGTGGCTTTTTGGCTGTCTTTTTGCTCTGTTTTTAGCTATAGATGCTTTCTTTAGCAAGTGTTCTAGGGATTACAACACACACCCTGACTTTTCACAGTCCACCTGCAGAGCCTATGACACCACTTGGGCAATAAGGCAGTGAAAAGGAATAAAGCACAGACATGGGCCACATGTGGGTGAGCCTGACACTTTATGCCAAGTCCAAGCAGCCAGTCACCAAGGGCCACATACTGTATCATCTCATTTATATGAAATGCCCAGATGGGAAAATCCAGAGAGACGCAGATTACTGGTTACCTAGTGCTGGGGGTGGAAGGAAGAATTGGAAGGGGAGATGATGAAAGAGAACAGGGTTCCTTGTTAGGGAAATAAAAATGTTCTAAAATCGATGGTGGTGATGGATGCACCATTCTGTGAGTATACAAAGAGCCACTGATGTTGACACTTCATTTTTATTTATTTGTTTGGAGACAGTCTCACTGAGTTGCCCAAGCTGGAGTCCAGCGGCATAATCTTGACTCACTGCAACCTCCACCTCCCAAGTTCAAGTGATTCTTCTGCCTCAGCCACCTGAGTAGCTGGGATTACAGGCATGTACCACTGCACCTAACTGTTTTGTTTTTTTTTGAGGCAGAGTAGGGCTCTGTCATTGAGGCTGCAGTACAGTGACGTGATCTCAGCTCATTGCAACCTCTGCCTTCCAGTTTCAAGCGATTCTCCTGCCTCAGCCTCCCATGTAGCTGGGATTAAAGGTGCCCGACATCACATTGGGCTATTTTTTGTATTTTTAGAAGAGATGGGGTTTCATTATGTTGGCCAAGTTTGGTCTTAAACTCCTGACTTCAGGTGATCTACCTGCCTTGGCCTCCTAAAATGCTGGGATTACAGGCCTGAGCCACTACATCCAACTCCATAAGGTAAATTTATATTTACCTTTTAAGAAACCACCAAACTGTCTTTTGGTGTGGCCATGCTGTCTTATGTTCCCCCAGCATGTGTGAAGGCTCCATTTCCACACACCCCCACTTGATATTGATAGTGACATCTTTTTGTTTTTTGAGATGAAATCTCACTCTGTCACCCAGGCTGGAGTGCAGTCATGCAGTCTCAGCTCACTGAAATCTCTGCCTGCGGGATCTAACAATTCTGCCTCAGCTCTTGAGTAGCTGGAACTCCAGATGCAGGTCACCATGCCCAGCTAATTTTTTTGTATTTTTAGTAGAGACAGGGTTTCACTATGCTGCTCAGGCTGGTCTAGAACTCCTGACCTTGTGATCCATCCACCTTGGTCTTCCAAAGTACTGGGATTACAGGTGTCAGCCACCACATCCGGCCATGACATCTTTTTAATGTTGAACCTTTCTCGATAACATGTGCAGCGTGGCTTTCTTTGCATTCAAAGTGCTTCATTGAATGATTTCTTGATATGGATTGTGTGTGCATATTTTCATATGTTTATTTCTGAGAATTTTGTTTTTTGGGGGTACACTGTTGCAAATGGGATGTTTTCTTCTTTTTTCTAACTGCTTGTTTGTACATAGATTGTCTGAGGCCAGGCTTGGTGGCTGAGGCCTGTAATCCTAGCACTTTGGGAGACTGAGGCAGAAGGATTGCTTGAGCCAAGGAGTTTGAGACCAGCCTGGGCAGCATAATAAGACCCCATCACTATCTATCTATTATCTATCTATCTATCTATCTATCTATCTATCTATCTATCTAATCTAATCTAATCTATCTAATCTATTTATTTATTTGAGACAGGATCTTCCTCTGTCATCCAGGCAGGAGGGCAGTAGTGAAGTTCCACTTCACTGCAACCTCCACCTCCCAGTTTCAAGCAATTCTCATGCCTCAGCCCCCTGAGTACCTGGTATGACAGGAGTGTTTCACCACACCCAGCTAGTTTTGTATTATTGTATTGAGTCAGGGTTTTGCCATGTTGGCCAGTCTGGTATGAAACTCCTGACCTCAATCAATCTGCCTGCCTTGGTCTCTCAAAGTGCTGGGATTACAGGCATGAGCTGTGCCCGGCCCCATCTCTGTAGTTTAACAACTAAGAAAGAAAAAGGCTGTTTAGTATGTTCCTTTTTTACCTAACTCCTTAGCAGAATCTGTCTGCCTCATTTTTTAGAGTAAATATAACTATTTCACCTTCTGCCTTTTTCTTTAATATCTTACTTTGCTCCTTGCCTAGTTGTATCAGCTAGGGCTTCCAAAATAATAGTGGTAACAGAGGGCATTCTTTTGTTCCAAAAGTTGATAAAAGCTTTTGTTTCTTCCATCCCTTACAAATGATGCTGGGCTTTGCCTTGATGGGTGTGTGTCTGGGTGTAATTTCCTTTATTGTGTGTAATTTAAGGAAGTATCCCTCTTCTTAATTTGATAAGTTTCTTTTATAAATTTTGTAGTCAAATGCCTTTTGAAAATCTATGGTGATTATGATTTTCAACATACTAATATAAATGAAAAGAGAAGATGTTCTAATTTCAAGCCATCCTTTCACACTGTACAAGTCTCACTTGGTTTAGGTAAGAATTTTTTAAGCCCCAGTGGGGTTTATTTGCTAATATATTATTTTGGATTTTCATACATTGATTTTTATGTAAATGTCTCATCTTGTTTTGTTTTAGAGACATGGCTTTTCTCTGTTGCCCAGGCTGGAATGCAGTGATGTGATTACACTTTATTGTAATTTTAAACTCTTGGGCTAAAGTGATCCTTCTGCCTCAGCCTCCTGGGTAGCTGATGTTACAGGCATGTGCCACCACACCTGGCTTAATTTTTAAATCTTTGTAGAGACAGAGCCTTGCTATGTTGTCTATGTTCAGTGTATACTGTAGATGTGAATATTTACTGGCCTTTCTGCCAGAATCATTCCCTCTCCCATCTGTTTGTCTTTAAATTCTGGGCATGAACACATTCCACCTGCACATCCTACCTGCAAAATATTGATGTTGTCCAACCTGCCTTGAAAAGAGAGGACTGTTTTTCCCTCTGTGTATCTCTGCTGGTGTCCAGTCCACTGCCGTGTGTTTGGTAAACAGTCGACCCACAGAGTATGGGAGGCAGGAAGGGAAGGCTTCTGCATTTCCTTTGTGGACCTGACATCATGGATTCATTAAGCATATTGGGAAACCAGCAGGTCAGGTGGCTGCACACTCTAGTTGCCTCTGACTCTGAATTGCTCAGGGCCCCCTGCATGCCAGTGACTTGCTTTTCTTTGTGAGTTATCTCTTCGCTCATATTCCTAGGCTGAGTTCCCCCAAACAGTGGCTAGCACAGCACCTGTAACAGTTGTGGGTGCATATCTGATCTTGCATGACCTGACTTACAGGGTATTTTGAACAGGTGCTACCTGTTATGGCTTGGGCTATGGCTAAAGTTTACTTGACTTCCATAATGTAACTGGTAGAATATGTGGCATATGGCTATTATTGCAAAAGCAGAAGTGGTGGGGGGTGATGGAGCTTGGGCAGCATTGGGAGACAGACAGACCTGCATCAGCACCATCCTGGCCATTTGTAGGTCATATGACCTTGGGGGAATCCCCTCAACTCTCTGAGGTTTTTCCCCCCCCCCCCCATTAAGGAGATCATCCATTCCTCATTGGACTATTGTAAGGCTTAAGATCAAATATCTTTCAAGGCACTTGGAGCAGTGCCTGGGCTTGAGGTCTTTAGGCTGTAACCATAGCAAACACTCAGATCCCAGCCACCCTCACTTCTCTTCCCTCCAGTGTGGGAATGTGGAGGACCAACCTTCTCATTTTCATTTATCTTGGAATTGTTTCTTCTGAACTTCATCTAGCACCTGCTGTGCACCAGGAATTCATGGGTGAGGAGGACAGGGACAGTGAAGTCTGGCATCTGGCCTTCAGCTTGCCTCAGTCCCTGTGGCTGACACCTGGCCCTTTGCTCTGGAATCTGGACTCTACAATCTACTACCAAATGCTCAGCCCAAAGAGGACTCCCTCTATCAGTGAGAAGATTGCAAAGCTGCCCACATCTCCCCATCTCCTGAGTTGATGATCAGCCCCGGAAATCCAGAGACACATTCTTGGATTCTGCTAGGTTTATTCTTCAGTTGAAAACTCAAAGGAAAAGGTTATTTTCCAAAAGAAAGTTAAAAAAAAAAAAACAAAAAAACTTTGAATGCTCTAGCCTGAGAGCCTGAGTTCACAGATCCCCCTACCAAAACAGAGGTCTTCAAAAGCCTTCAGTCCCCGTGTGTCTACCCAAGAGAGCAGCTCTGTCGGGCTTCTGAAGAGCTATCATTTCCCCTCAAAGAAGCTCCTGCTTGAGGAGATCCCTGGATCAGGCAGGAAAAGCCAGTACTGGGCAGCTGAGAACCTGACTTCATGTCCCCCTGTGCACAGTCAGTGTTCTGAAGCGGTGGCTTTCCACATGGCTGTTGAATAAGCTAATAAATACCTTGGGCATGAATAGGAGCTGGTAGAGCTCTCTCTGCAGGGCTGGGACTCGCTGGCCATGCTGTTTCTTGGTTTACAGTGGAGGTGTGGAGGAAGGGGGAGAATTAACCAGACCAGTGGGAGAGTTTCACGTCCTCACAAGTATTTTGAGTGCAATGGCAAACAGCTCATCTTCTCTGCATTTGAAGCACGTGTGGTTCTGAGTTTCCCAGCATTCCATGCTGGTTATTCTGTCCCAGCCAAGAGTCTTGCCCTTGTCAAGGAGCTGCAATTAGAGTAGAAGGTGAAGGAGTTTGAAGACTTTGGCAGCCTAGTGCTAGCTTAGATGAAATCTCAAACTGAAAAGGAGAAGTAAGGCCAGGCTATGGGACCCAGAGGAGAGGGGGCCCTGCTGTTTCCTGAAATAAATTATGCCAGGGCCCCTATTACAGCCCCTGGCCCTCCTTATTGAAAGGACCACTCTCCATCCACTCCCACCCATCTCCCTCTCCCTTTTCTGTAAGAACACCAGGGATGGGTCGATGAGTCCCTACACCTGCCAGGCCTTTGCAGGCAGTGGTGTTAGGCCCAGCCTGCTGAGTTTCTGGGATATTAAACAAGCATCTATGGGGCACCCACTCCATGTCAGGCTCTGCCACCAGCACCCTGGAGACAGAAGACCAAGACATACTTCCCAGCCCAGGGGAGGGCGGAACCTTAGCACACGATGCATTGAGAGCTCAGGATGCATCCAACCTGAAGTGCAGGCTAAAGGGAACTCTCACTGTGTGGGTAGGATCTTCAGTACAGTTTGCAGTGGAGGCTGCTCTGCTGTTTCCCTATCAAGTGTGCTGGTCAAGGGCACAGACTGGACACTCAGGGCTATGAGGGTAAGGAAGCACTCTTGTATCCCTTACCTGCTAGGAGAATGGTTTAAAAGATGGGCTTTATTTAATTTCTTTGAGATGGAGTCTAGCCGTCACCCAGGCTGGAGTACAGTGGCTCACTGCAACCTCTGCCTCCCAGGATCAAGCAATTCTGCCTAAGCCTCCTGAGCAGCTGAGATTACAGATGCCTGCCACCACACCCAGCTAATTTTTCTATTTTTATTAGAGACGGGGTATGGTCAGGCTGGTCTCCAGCTACTGACCTCAAGTGATCCACCCGCCTCGGCCTCCCAAAGTGCTGGGATTACAGGCGTGAGCCACCACACCCTGCTATTTATTTTGTTGAGATGGAGTCTTGCTCTGTTGCCCAGGCTGGAGTGCAGTGGCACAGTATCAGCTCACTGCAACCTCTGCCTGCTGGGTTCAAGTGACTCCCCTGCCTCAGCCTCCTGAAGAGCTGGGACTACAAGCATGAGCCACCACACCTGGCCAGGAAGTACCCTTCTGTCCCTCATCTGCTAAGAGCAATGTCTAAAAGATGGGCTTTAGGTGGTCTTTCTGCCATCTCTTTATACTACATTCTGGTTCTTTTTCAGTATGTAATTTTCAGTAATTAGTAAATTAGCTGATTGGCTAAATTACTAAACTATAAGTTTAGTGATTAGTAATTTTAATAATTTCTGGTTCCCTGCTGAAATCTATGATCTCTGTCTAATCAGCCTACTATCTGAGTCTTGTGGGTCTGTCTATTATTGTCTTCCTGTGCTAGTTTTTACACTTAGAATTGTACCTCCCTAAGAGTGTTTTTAATAACTACGGTGTTGATAATTGTATCATCATGCCCAGCACGGAGGTGCTCAATAAATACACATTTCCAATGTCAAAAATATTCAATGTGGTAAAACACAAAAAATTTACAACCACCATTTAAAGTACCCACTTCAGTGTAAGTACAATTATATTTTTGTGCAGCCAAACTCTGGAACTCACTAAATCCTGCCAAACTGAAACTCTGTCCCTTTAAATAAGCCATTACTGGCTCTCCCAGCTCCTGGCCACCACCACTCTACTTTCTGTCTCTGTGAATCTGATTACTCTAGGTCCTTCCCATAAGTGGAATCATACAGTATTTCTCTTTTTGTGACTGCCTCATTTCACTTTGCACAATGTCCTAAAGGTTCATCCATGTGTTAGCATGTGTCGGGATTTTCTTCCTTTTTAAGGCTGAATAATGTGTGACTGTATGGAGAGACCACATTTGTTTATCTGTCGGTGTTCACTTGGATTGCTGCTATTTTTCAGCTCCTATGAATAACGCTGTGCCGAGACCAGCTCAGCCTCGGAGACCCCAACTTATGTGGCACTGAAGGAATTAAGAAACAGACACGGAGATAGCAAAAGGTGGGTACAGAGTGGAGCACCAGGGGTCTCACAGCATTTCCAGCTGAGAGTTCAGAGCAGACTCTGACCTATGTATTTATTCTTGACTTTCCAGTGACAAGTTTTACAAGCAGATGCTCTCTGCTCTTTCATTGGTTAAAGGTAAACTAACCAGGCAGCTCGTGTGTGTTTACTATAGGTTAAAGACAAACTAGAAAGCGCTCTTTACAAGGGAACAAAGGAAAGGGTCACACATCCTGTGTTCACAGAGCTAATTCATCTGGCGTGAGGCATAATTATACTGGATACTGTGTTATAGTGCTCTGAGCAGTTTGCTGCTTTGGGGGCAGTTTTCCACTTTGGGTGGCCGACTAGGTTTCCCTTGCCGCCTCTCTCAATAGGATTTCTCAGCAAACAATATGATTTCTCACACATGTCAGAATTTGCTCTCAACAACCCTGCTATGAACATCAGTGTATAAATGTGTGAGGCCCTTTGAATTGTAGAGAGTACACACCCAGAAGTGGAAATGCTGGATTATATGGTAATCCTTGTTTTGAGACAGAGTCTCGCTCTCTCACCCAGGCTGTAATGCAGTGGTACAGTCTTGGCTGACTGCAACCTCTGGCTCCTGGGTTCAAGCAATTCTTAACCCTCAGCCTCCCGAGTAGCTGGGATTACAGGCCTGCACCGCCACGCGTGGCTAGTTTGTTTTTAGTAGAGATGGATTTCACCACATTGGCCAGACTGGTCTTGAACTCCTAGCCTCAAGTGATTCACCTGCCCCGGCCTCACAAAGTGCTGGGATTACAAGTGTGTGTCACCACGCCTGGCCTGTTTTTAACTTTTTGATGAAAAGTTTAAACACTGTTTTCCATAGCTAAGCTCCATTTTAAATTCCCAGTAAGAGTACACACGGCTTCCAATAGCTCAGCATTCTCGCTAACACTTTATTTTCTGTATGGATTACAACCATCCTAATAAGACTGAGGTGGCCTCTCCATGTAGGTCTTCTTTCTTTTCTTTTTTTGAGATGGAGTCTCGCTCTGTAATTCAGGCTACAGTGCAGCGGTTACAATCTTGGCTCACTGCAATCTCCACCTCCCCGGTTCAAGCAATTCTCCTGCCTCAGCCTCCTGAGCGTCTGGGACTTCAGGCACATGGCACCACACCCAGGTAATTTTTCTATTTTTAGTAAAGATATGGTGTTACCCTGTCAGCCAGGCTGGTCTCAAACTCCTGAGCTCAAGTGGTCTTCCCACCTCATCCTTTCAGAGTGCTGGGATTACAGGTGTGAGCCAGCATGCTGAGCCTCTCCATGTGATTTTGGTTTGTTTCCCTAATAGTGATGAGCATCTTTTTGTGTGCTGATTGGTCATTTGCATCTCTTAATTGGTGGACTGTCTATTCACATCCTTTGCACATTTCTGAACCGCGTTAGTCGGGTTTTTGTTGTTGCATGGTGAGAGTGCTTTATCTGTTCTAGATGAGAACTCTTTGACATGTAATTTGCACATCTGTCATTCCGTAGGTTGCCTTTTCAGTCTGTTAATAGTATCCTTCAATGCAATCCAATCTGTCTACTTTCTTTTTGTTGTTTGGGCCTTTGGTGTCATATCTAAGAAATCATGGCCAAAGGAAGCTCTCCTTCCATGTTTTAAGAGTTGTCAGCTGGGAACAGTGGCTCCTGCCTGTAATGCCAGCACATTGGGAGGTTGAACTGGGTGAGTCCTGAGGTCAGGAGTTCAAGACCAACCTGACCAAGATGCCCTGTCTCTACTAAAAATACAAAATTTAGCTAGGCATGGTGATGGGCTCCTGTAATCCCAGATATTTGGGAGGCTGAAGCAGAGAATTGCCTGAACCCGGGAGCCAGAGGTTGCAGTGAGCCGAGATAGCAGCACTGTACTCCAGCTTTCATGTCAGAGAGAGACTCTGTCTCAAAAAAAAAAAAAAAATGAGTTGTATAGCTTCAGATCTTACACTTGGGTCTTTGATTCATTATTGAGGTTTTCTTTCTTTCTTTTTTAACATGATATAAGGTAAGGCTTTATCTTCATTCTTTTGCCTGTGGATATCTAGTTTTCTCACACCATTTGTTGAAAGACTGTCCCTTCCCTGAGTGAATAGTCTTGGCATCTTTATTGAACTCATTTGACCACGTGTGTAACGGGTTCCTTCTGCACTCTGTATTCCATTCCACTGGTCTCTCTGTATGTCTTTACTGCCGTACCACACTTTTGACCACTGTAGCTTTTTTATTTTTTTAAAGACAGAGTCTTGCTCTGTCACCAGGCTGGAGTGCAGTGGCACAATCTCAGCTCACTGCAACCTCTGCCTCCTGGGTTCAAGGGATTCTTCTGCCTCAGCCTCCCGAGTAGCTTGGACCACAGGCATGTGCCACCACACCTGGCTAATTTTTGTATTTTTAGTAGATGAGGTTTCATCATGTTGGCCAGGATGGTGTTGATCTCTTGACCTCATGATCTGCCCACCTCAGCCTCTCAATGTGCTGGGATTATAGGCTTGAGCCACCATGCCCAGCCCTCTGTAGCTTTCAATAATACATTTTGAAATTGAGAAGTAAAGGACTTCCAACTTTGTTACTTTTTCAAGATTGCTTTGGCCATCTGGGATCTCTTGAAATTGCGTATAAACTTTGCACAATTTATAAGGATGGATTTTTCTATAATCGAAGAGAAAATGTCTGAGATTTTGGAAGAAATCAAACTAAACCTGTAGATCACTTTGAGTCATATTGACATCTTAACGAAACTAAGCCCTTTAATACATAAATATGAGATGCCTTTACATTTATTACATAACCGGTCTCTGGAACTCAAAATCCTGCCAGAGTCTTTGCCTCCTGGTTGAGTTTATTCCTGTTTTATTCTTTTTGATGCTATTGTAAACTGACTTTTTCTTTTATTAAGATAGTGTCTCACTATGTTGCCCAGGCTGGAGTACACTGGCTATTCACAGGCATAATCATTATAAAAACTGACAGCACTGACCTCCCAGGCTCAAGCGATTCTCCTACCTCAGCCTCCCAGTAGCTGGGACTATAGGCATCCACAACCAAGCCAGCAGGAACTGTTTTCTTAATTTCCTTCTTGGATTGTCGACTGTTAGTGTGTAGAAATGCAACTGACTTCTGTATGTTGATTTCATAATCTTGAAACTTGGACAAATTATTAGTTCTAACAGTTTATTTTGTGCAGTCTTTAGGATTTTCTACGAAGAAGATCATGTCGTTTGTTAACAGAAAATTTTACTTCTTCCTTTCCAATTTTGATGCCTTTTCTTTTTCCTTCCTTCCTTAATAGCTCTGGCTAGGATTCCCAGTATTATGAAAGCAGGCATCATTGTTTTATTACACATCTTGGAAAATTTTGTCTCTCACCATTGAGATTGATACTAGCTGGAGGTTGTTCATATGACCTTTATTACGTTGAGGTTGTTTTGATTTCTAGTATGTTTTTAGTCATGAAAGAATATTAAACTTCATTAAATGCTTTTTCTGTACTAATTGAAACAAATTATGTGTTTTCTTTCCTTCATTCTGTGAATGTGGTATCTTACCCTAATGTTTATATGGTAACCACCTCTGCATTCCAGGAATAAATCTTACTTGACCATGTTGTATAATCCTTTTCTGATGCTGTTGAATTCTCATTAGTTTTTCTTGAGCACTCTTGCAGCTGTATTGATCAGGAATAGTGGTGTGTTTTCTTCTGCTGCTTTGTCTGTCTTTGGTATCAGTAATGCTGGCCTCACAGAATGAGTTTAGAGGTATTCTTTCCTCAGTATTTTGGAACAAGATGAGCAGGATTGGTATTGATTCTGTAACTGTTTGGTACAAGTCACCCATGAAGCCATCTGTTCTTGTACTTTCCCGTCAAGTTTTTGGTCACTGATTTTTTTTTTATTTCTGTTCTAACCTTTAGTATTTCCTTCCTTCTCCTAGCTTTGGGTTTAGGCTGTTCTTCTCTAATAATTTAAGGTACAAAGTTAAGATTGTGGTTTGAGAGCTTTTCCTTTTTCTTTTATTTGAGAGAGGGTCTTGCTGCTTGCTGAGTTAGTCTCAAACTCCTGGGTTCAAGCAATCTCCTGGCCTCAGCCTTCCAAGTAGGTGGGATTATAGAAGTGTCACTATGCCTGGCTGCAGCTTTTTTTTTTGGGGGGGGGGGGGTGGGGGGACGTGGAGTCTAGCTGTGTCTCCCAGGCTGGAGTGTAGTGGTATAATCTTGGCTCACTGCAACCACCTCCTCATGGGTTCAAATGATTCTCCTGAGACTACAGGTACTTGCCACCATGCCTGGCTAATTTTATGTTTTTAGTAGAGATGGTGTTTCCCCATGTTAGCCAGGCTGGTCTTAAACTCCTGACATCAGGTTATCTGCCTATCTCAACCTCCCAAAGTGCTGGGATTTCGGATGTGAGCCACCATCTCCAGCCAGCTTTTTAAAAATGTAAGCGTGTACAGCTATAGATTTTCCTCATAGCACTGCTTTTGCTGCATCCTATAAGATTTGATACGTTTTGTCTCAAAATACTTTATAATTTTCCTTACTATTTTTCTTTGACCCATAGTTTTGTGGTATGTTATTGAGTTTCCATAGATTTGTGAATATTCCAGTTTTCCTTCTGCTATTATGATTTCAGTCATTTAAAATGTATTAAATCTTGATTTCAGGCCTAATAGATGATCTTTCCCATAGAACATTCCACACGTACTTTGAATTCAGAAGGTTGCAGCTGCACTCCAGCCTGGGAAACAAAGATTCTGTCTGGAAAAAAAAAAAGTGAGGGGTAGAAATTTCCTACAGTTTTCACAGAACTGTTTGTTTCTCCTTTCATTCCGTCAGTGTTTGTGTCATATATTTAAAGCTCTGAGGTGCATTGCATGTATCTTTATAACTGTTGCATCTTTTTGGTGAATGGATTGTTATCTCTTACAACAGCTTTTGACCTTAAGTCTATTTAGTCTGAGATTAATCTAGCTTCTCTTCCTTTTTTCAGTTACCATTTCCATGGAGTATCTTTTCTCATCCTACATGTAAGTCTCTTACTATCTTTAGATTGTGGAAATAATTTGCATTTTTAAAGATTATCATCATCTGATGAAACTCAATAGCCTGGTGGGTGACTGTGCCATGAGGCCCACAGCCAGGGACTAAGGTGAGCAGTTCCTCTGGGAGGACTCCAGCACACCATTTACGGGGCCTCGCAGAGCCACTTTGTGGATTGTTTTCTGCGTGGCTTATTGGTTTGTTTTCTCTCTCATTTCCTTCCTTCTGCCTTCCTTTATGTTAATTGATTTTTTGGTGTGACACACTTATAATGCCTTCTCACTTCCTTTTGTGTGTACATCCTGTAGACATTTTCTTTGTAATTACCCTGAGGATTATATAAAACATCCTGAAGTTAAGTTTAAAATTGATTATAAAATAGTAAGTTCAATCGCATGCAAATACTGTACTCCTGGACAGCTGTGCCCCATCCTGTGTTCTTGATGCTACAAAGTATATCTATATTTTAGAGAGAGGGTCTCACTCTGTCACCCAGGCTGGAGTGCAGTGTCACTATTATAGCTCATTGTAACCTGAAGCCCCTGGACTCAAGTGATCCTCCATAGCTGAGACTATAGGTGCATGCCACCATGCGTAATTTTTTTAAATAAATTACATATTTAACATAGGCTTATGGTTACACATCTCTTTTCAATCCAATAAAATAATAAAAATCAGAGATGTGAATCAAAATTCCAATAATACAGGTCTTTATATGTGGCTTCAAACACCCACCCAGCATCTTTTTGTTTTGACTTGAAGGACTCCCTTTACCATTTCTTGCAGGAGAGGTCGAACTATCTCAGCTTTTGTTTATCTGAGAATGTCTTAATCTTTCTGGTCAGGCACTAGGTGGAAGGATCACATGAAGTCAGGAGTTCGAGACAGCCTGGCCAACATGGTGAAACCCCGTCTCTACTAAAAATACAAAAACATGGTGGTGGATGCCTGTAATACCAACTACTTGGGAGGCTGCACACTGTACTCCAGCCTGGAGGACAGAGCAAGATCCTGTCTCAAAAAGGTAATAAAAAGTATCTTAATATTCCTTTTTTCTTATGAGAGTTCATAAGATGCATTTATTTTGTAACTTCCAATCACCTTTAAATTTGTCTTTCAAATGTTAACTGGTGTTCAAGAGAGGGGAAGAATTTAGCCCTTGATTTAAAATAAATAAACCCGGCCAGACACGGTGGCTCACATCTGTAATCCCAGCACTGTAGGAGGCCGAGGCAGACAGATCATGAGGTCCGATGTTTGAGACTACCCTGGCCAACATGGTGCAACCCTGTCTCTACTAAAAACACAAAAAAAATAGCGGGGCATGGTGACACATGCCTGTAATCCCAGCTCCTCAGGAGGCTGAGGCAGGAGAATTGCTGGAACCCAGGAGGAGAAGGTTGCAGTGAGCTGAGATTGCTCCACTGCACTTCAACCTGGGTGAAAGAGAAAGACTTCACCTCAATAAATAAATAAATAAAACCTAAGAGGAAGACAGAGGACCTTAACTGCAGATAATACTCCATTGTTACCCTGTAACTATAAATCGTCTGAGATGCCTGTCGTCCCAGACGTTCTGTTGGTGGCTGTAGTAGCTGACAGTTTTGTTTTTACATGGTCAGAACAATGAGCACTTCTGCTTGATTCCCAGATTCTCCAACCTTCCCGTGGAGCCACACCACCTCCTGTCTTGGCACTTCATGAGTCCAATGCTGTTTCCCGAGAGGATCTGGTTGGTAGACCGTGACCTCGATTCCTGCCTCTAAGCCTAGCTTTATTCTCAGCAGCCACCACCTTTTTGGTACTAGAACAGTGCTTTTTATAGTGCACTCATCAGTGGATGCTGAAATCACAACCTGGCCATTTGGATGTTCAACTAATGCTCTATGCTGCAGAGTCCCTGCAACTCACCAACCTGTGCCGGAACTCACTGGAGCTCAGGTGTGTAGCATTACCTTGTTTCTCTATGGCTGGGAGTGCAAACATTATTGATGTGTTTATTTCCCATTTTTTACTTTGGAGGTTTTGTTTTGTGAGACAAGCTCTCACTCTGTCATGCAGCCAGGAGTGTAGTCATGGCTCACTGCAGCCTTGACCTCCCGGGTTCAAGCCATCTCGCCTCAGCCTCACAAAGTGCTGGGAATACAAGTGTGGCCTACTTTTGAGCTTTGAGTTATTTATGTATTGTAGACATGAGTCTCTGGAGATGCGTTCTTGGTCTGATGGGGGTTTGTAAACATTTTTCCCAATCTGTAGCTTATCTCTTCATCCTCCTAATTGAGTCTTTCAGAGAGCAAAAATGTGGTCTCCCTTGAAGATACTCTGCACCTGTAGCAGGAAAGCAGACACAGACAGTACATAAATGAACATGTGGATGTCCCTTGAGTAAGTGTCCATTTGTGGTAAAGAGATCTCTAGACAGATCAGTGCTGAGAGGTTATTTCATTCAGTTATAGTTGAGCTGGGGATCATCTCTAATCTCATGCTTACTTTCTCTTACTCCACTGTCTTCTGTTGCTGCTGGTGGGAAAGCAATTGTCAACATGTTCTTCCTTCTTTCCACCCTCCTCAGTAGCTTTTAGGACCTTTTGTCTTTTCTGCAATTGTGTTTGGAGGGGTCTAGGTACAGATGGATTTATTGTATTGGGGATTGTGCCTCCTGACTCTAAAGGGTCCTGGGTCCTGTCTGTTTTCATTCTGGAATTTTTTTTTTTGAGACAGACTCTCACTCTGTCACCAGGCTGGAGTGCAGTGGCAAGATCTTAGTTCACTGCCACCTCCACCTTCTGGGTTCAAGCATTTCTCCTGCCTCAGCCTTCTGAGCCACTGGGATTAAAGGCACATACCACCACTCCTGGCTGATTTTTGTATTTTTAGTAAAGATGTGTTCACCATGTTGGCCAGATTTGTCTCAAACTCCTGACCTTAGGTGATCCACTCACCTTGGCCTCCCAAGTGCTGGGATTACAGGGATGAGCCACCACACCCGGCCTGGAATTTCTTTGAGACATGTTGGATCATCTCATTTCATCCTCCCTTTGTTGTATTTTCCAATTGATTAAGTTTTAAATGTCTACAAATGGCAGCCACTAATTCTGGCATCTGTAGCTCTTGGAGGTCCACTCCTCTTGTTAATACTGACCTCTATATTATTTTAGTGGGGGTTTGGCTGTGGCAATTGTATGCAGCACTGGCTGAAGAATCTCAAGGTAGCTAGTGTTAGAACTGAATTAGAGGTCTGCCCTGGTAGTGGAGACAAACCCCTCACACGTTTGCTCACAGAAGTGAGCATCTTCTGTGTTGATGATGATTTTTGCAGTATGAGAGCAGAGGGAAAACGGGCTGAGCATTTTCCTAAACGATAGTGGACATTCAAATCCCTCATGAGGCTGGGTGTGGTGACTCATGCCTGTCATCCAGCACTTTGGGAGGCCCAGGCAGGTGGATCACCAGAGGTCAGGAATTCATGACCAGCCTGGCCAACATAGAGAAATACCATCTCTACAAAAATACCTGCCTGTATTTTTGGGAGGCTGAGGCAGGAGTATTGCTTGAACCTGGGAGGTGGAAGTTGCAGTGAGGGGAGATTGTGTCACTACACTCCAGCCTGGGTAGATCATAAATAAAAGAGATAATTGGCTATACAAGCACAGCTCCAGCATCTGCTTGGCTTCTGGCGAAGCCTCAGGAAGCTTCCGATCATGGCAGAAATGGGAGTGGGTTCAAAGAGAGAGAGAGGAAGGGCCAGGTTCTTTATAAACAAACTGCTCTCATGTGAACGAATAGAGCAAGAACTCATGCTTCACCAAACACAGGATGCTAAGCCATTCATGAGGGATGTACACCCTCTAACAAATGTGAGATTTGGAGGGGACACACATTCAAGCTGTATCAGGCCTTAAATGATTTGTTTTGACTCTTAGCTCCTTGAATGACAATTACTTGTTCTCCCTGACAAGAGAGAGAGATGGGTTTTCCCTCCGGCTGGAAGGCAGATGCCAGCCAGGGGGCAGAGTGACAGCCGGCTGGGGCAGCTTATTGCACTGTGGAGAAGGACCAGGAACATGAAGCTGCAGGCACAGAGGTAGATGTAGGTGGCTGCCAGAGTGCAGACAGGCTGGAGCTCCCAGGTGCCACAGGAGTCCTGCACACATAGGCTAAGAAATGGTACAAGCTCCACCTGAAATCAGGGCCCCCCAGTCACTGTCTCTAGCCTAAACCTCTGTTCCATGTCACTCCTTAGGGTAGATTGGGGAAAGGGCTTGCTGTGCCCCAGGGCCCAGGATCACACTCACCACCTGGAAGCAGTTCCCCAAGCTGGATGGGGGGTCCTGGAAGAAGGCACAGCAGGTGGGGCTCTGTCCTGGGCAGGTCGGCTGAGTCTTCTCAGTGGCCCTGCAGTCACCATCCACCTGGTAGGACAGACGCAAGACTCAGGCCTCCCGCTAAACCATGTGGCTCCCCCATATACATTGGCCTCAGCAGGAGACTCCCCCCAACCCTGGGTCTGCAAAGACCTCTGCAGAGCCAGCAGGCCACCTGCCTCTCCTGGGACTCTGCAGCAAGCAGCCTCAAGAGACTCAGCCAGAGGGAGGAAGGGCAGCTGCATCTGCTCACCTGCCAGGCCAGGCTGAGCTCCTCCAGGCTGTGGGCCATAGAGCCATCCAGCAACATTAGATCAGTGCCTGATTCATTGTCATTGGTGTCCAGAAGGCCAGCGGATATGCCTGTGAATAGGAGGAAAGCTGAGGAGGTCCTGAGAGCCCGTGATCCTCCCCCAGGGGACCTGTATGAGAGATGAGCCTGAGGCACATGGAGGATTGGTAGAATCCCTCCACCCCAGACTCCCAGAGCTCTGGCTCCAAACCCTCATCAGAAGAGGGAAAGAAAGCACAGGGACTGAGGACAGCGTGTGTCCCCCCATCCTTTCTCCACATCTTCAGCTCGAGGGGCCAGAATCCAGGCCTGCCCTTTGTGTTCCTTGGCAGAGGGACCACAGAAAGGCCAACTCCACCTTGGAGCCATATATCCAAGGGATGGGGGCAGAAAGCCCTGGGCCTCAGTGCCAACCTCTCAACCACAGTGGCCACCTACAGCTCGGGGACCTGTCACACTGGAAGCTGAGAATGGTGCATCCCAAAGAGGCTTTTGGTGGTGGGGCCAACTCTGCCGGGGCCCAGACTCACTGTGGTGCCAGAGCCGCAGAGTCAGCTGCAGAGGCTGGTGGGCATGTCACAGGAGATGGAGACCCCATCCTTACTGGCCATCTCAATCCTGGAGACAACCCTCCTTTTCATGGCAAAAGGCAGCTGGAGGTCTGGACAGCTATCCCCTGGCAGGGAGGAGTTGTACATCCTGTAGGCCTGTGGACCAGAGGAGGTGGGCAGGAGGGCTGACCCACAGCCAGGGGACAAGCTTGAAAGTGCCATCCCCCAGGCAATCTGCCATAGGCACAGGTCTCCAGTGGAAGCTCTGGCCTCTCCTCCTCACCTGCAGGCTGGAGTAGAAGATGAGGGTCACATGGTTCAGCTCCACAGTCAGGGCCATGAGCCCCAAGCCTGTCCGACTCAGCATCAGTGAGAATGTGCTATGAGTGAAGTCTTGGGCCAGGAGGGTACTGCTGCACTGGACGCTGAGGTCCCACACCCGGCCATCAAAAGTCACCACGTGCTGAGCCCTGGCTACCAGGGCATGGACTGGGGAGAAGCAGCTCCAAAGGCAGGCTGAGTGGAGCCAGCTCCACCCACCGCCGTGGGAGCACAATGCCTGCTGGGTACCCCAATGCCTAGAGCCCTGGCTTAGCCTGCCCTAAGGCCAGGAGTCCCCCCACCAGCTTCAGAATGACATGAGCTGAAAGGCTATGGCCCAATTCAGCCCTAATAAGGAATGGAGTCCCCAGACCTGCTACAAAACAGCTGTGCTAAGTAACAAAGCATGGCTCAGAGGCCACATAGTCATCCTTCTGTTTACATCAGATGTCCAGAGCAGGCACAGCCATGGACACAGCAGGCGAACTGGTAGCTGCAGGGTTTCATTTTAGGAAAATAAAAACATTTTAAAATCAATTGTGGTGAGGCATGCACAACTCTGAGTAAACTAGAAGCCACTGAATCGTGCACTTAAAATTCACACATCAGCTGGGCACAATGGTGCTAAGCCATCCCAGCACTTTGCGGGGCTGAGGCAGGAGGATCACTTGAACCCAGGAGATAAAGGGTGCAGGGAGCTGAGAGCACACCACTGCACTCCAACCATGACAACAGAGTGAGACCTAGTCTCAAAAAAAAAAAAAAAATTATACAAGTCATCCATTTAATCTCAAGGAAGCTACTGGAGGGAAAAAAAAATGGACCGTTTAAGTGGATGGCCAACGGCTCCCTCAAACATGACAGCGGTGTCCTGCTGACCTGCCCCATTCAGGGTAGGAAAGATGGCCTGTGAAGAAACAGGTCTGACCAGTCCAGCCAGTGTGGCCCCTGAGCTCTGCCTTGGGGGTGCTCGTGCCCGTGGTGGGAAAGCACCATCCATCGTGCACAGCCAGACACCTGTTGGCCAGAACCAGCATCCAAAGGAGGCACTACCAGCCCCGTGGTCAGCTGTCAGAACTGAGGGGCACAGAGAAGCCCATGGTCACACACACACGACTTCAATACCAGGCTGGTTTTTTACAAGATCAGCGTGCTGCTTAGACCTGACTACACCCACGCTTCTAGGGAGCCATAGGCCTCCATGTGAGTCGCACACAGATAAACCGCTCCTTGCCAAGCCTGGGTACAGTGGCTCCCCCACAGACATGAGGGGCTCCTTTGTGCATTAAGAACTGTACATGCCCCTTACACATGTGAGTGAGCCACGTGGTTACCTGCATTTCACAGTGGAGGAAGCTGAGTCCACAGATATTAGCAGACTCACCTGAGCCACAGGCAAGCTCCTCAGGAGCCCAGAGCTGGTCATCCCAGCACCACCCTTGGCTGCACTGCTGGGCCAGGCCTTATAATCTGGAAAAAAGAAGGATGTGCAGCCTCAGCCCTAGTCCAATAGGACCTTGGGAAGTCCAATAAGCTCTGGGCCTGGCACTGTGATGCCACAAGCCTCTGCAGGCTTCCCTGTACCCCCACAGTACCTGCCCCTTCATGGCCCTGCTGTTGTGCCCACAGGGCAGGGGGCTCCCAGGGAGGAGGGTGGCACAGCCCGGGGCAGGACTCATACCTCCAGAGACCCTGCAGCAGGTGGCATCTGAGCCGGTAGAACTCGGATGGCATGCTGGCCCTGGACAGCTGTCGGAGTGGCCACAGCAGCTTCTCCGTCAGGTAGCCAGTCACCCAGACCACATCACCCCCAGGCAGCAGCGGCATCACCACCACTGAGTAGTTCCTAGAAGGAATGCACAGGACAAGCCGCTGAGCCATGCTTCTTTTGGCAGCAGAGGGGGAGCCCACAGGTCTGCGGGAAGAGCTCTGCCATGCAGAGCATTGGGGTGCCTCTCGGGGAGGGCTATCCTTGTTCTAGAAAATCCCATAATGAGGTGGAGGAGCAGAGGCTGGTATGAGAGCAGAGATGGGGGGTGACGCCGGGACAGAAACAAGCTGCCCTATTTTGATAACACAGATATTTAATGTCATGTCTAATCTGCCCCCTGGGTCTTGGGCAGCATGGGGCCTGTGTGTGTGGATGCCAAGGATAGAAGCTGGAAGGTGTAGGAAATTGGTTTTTTTTGAGACAGAATCTCATTCTGTTTCCCAAGCTCGGGTATAGTGGTATGATCTTGACTCCCTGCTACTTCTGCCTCCTGGGTGTAAGTGATTCTCCTTTCTCAGCCTCCAGAGTAGCTGGAACTACATGCACTCACGGCCATGCCTGGCTGATTTTTGAATTTTTAGTAGAGTCAGGGTTTCACCATGTTAGTCAGGCTGGTCTCAAACTCCCGACCTCAAGCGATCTGCCCAAAGTGCTGGAATTACAGGCATGAGCCAATGTGCCTGACCGACAGGTCTAGGAAATTTCTACAGTTGAGGGGAGGACCGGAGCTTTCTCAACATGTAGAGTAGGGTCAAGCCTGTGAGATCTGAATGATCAGGGAGATCTCGGCTCATGTGGGGGTGGAGTGGGAAGAGGAACATTGCACACACTCTTGTTGATGGGCCAGTGAGGGGGGCAGGCAGGTGGACTCACTTACCTTTTAGGGAGCCCAGAGGCCCTGCAGCTGGGGGCAGGAAGCAGCTTCAACACCCTCACTGTCAGTTAAATCCATTTTTTGGCACCCCCCACGAGATCCCACTCACCAGGGAGGTGAGTAACCAGGCAGGTGATTCTTCAACCAAGCCAAAGCCCCGCCCTGGGAGCTCTTCCCTTCCTCAGCCTACATTCTGACCACAAGGTGGCAGGAGCAGGAACTTGTATTATGTGGAGCCTTTTCCCCATGATGTGGGTCTAGTCCCTATTCTACAGCTGGGGAAACTTGAGGTACACAGAGCCAATGCAGAGGAATCCCAGGAAGAGGCAGAGCTGGAGTCCAGACTCTCTGTAAGGCCACCAGCATGGAAGAAGGGGTGGCCCCCTTGCCTGTAGCCTGGTTCCTGGTGGGCCTCATGGCTGAGGGAAAAGGATATTTGGTCCCCAGGCCCCTGCTCTAGACTGGGTTCCCCATTCCTATCCACCACCCCCTTGTTCTCAACACAGGGACCAAAGGAGCCTTTTGAAGTGAAAGAGTGATCACATCCTTCCTAGGTCAGAGCAGAAGCCAGAGTCCTCCCCTCATCCCCTAGCCTTGGAACCTCCCAGTCACATCAGCCCCACCACCTTGCTATTCAAACAGGCCAGGCAAGGTGGCTCATGCCCATAATCCCAGCACCAAGTCTCTGGAGCCCAGGATTCTGAGACCAGTCTGGCTAATATAGTGAAGCCCCGTCTCTACTAAACATACAAAAGTTAGCCGAGTACGGTGGTGAATGCTTGTAATCCCAGCAACGTGGGAGGCTGAGGCAGGAGAAACACTTGAATTTGAGAGGTTGCAGTGAGCTGAGATCACACCACAGCACTCCAGCCTGGGTGACAGAGAATGAGACCCCATCTCAAAAACAAACAGGGCAGTCACATCCCTCTCCCAGGCCTCTGTGCAGTGGTGCCTCCACCTGGAGCTCTCTTTCCACACTGGCCCCATGGCTCTTGCTTGAACTGTACCGTCTCAAAGCTGGCCATGGCCACCCCATAGGATCCCCAGCTCACCATCTCACCATCTCAAGCATTTGCCACCTAAGGTATGGCTCAGTGGTGATAAATGATGAGCAGTGGGCCACACCCAGCCTGCAGCCGGCTTCTTCAGGGCCTGCAAGAATGAAGGGCTTTTGTGTGTTTAAAATGTTACATAACAGGCCAGGAGTGGTGGCTCATGCCTGTAATCCCAACACTTTGGAAGACCAAAGGGGTTGCATCACTGAAGGTCAGGAGTTTGAGACCAGCCTGGAGTGGCAAAACCCTGTCTATACTAAAAATGCAAAAAATTAGCCAGGTGCAGTAGTGCTCACACCTGTAGTCCCAGCAACTAGGAGGGCGGAGGCAGGAGAATCACTTGAACATAGGAGGCAGAGGTTGCAATGAGCTGAGATCACACCACTGAGACAAGACTCCATCTCAAAAAAAAAAAGTTGATTGCAAAGCAAAAGCAAGGAAATGTGACAGAGCGGAATGGCCTGCGTAAGAGGTGACTCTCAGGCTCTCTGCAGGGAGCTGTGCACACTCTGCTGTAGATGATTTCTTGGGCTTTGTGTCTGTCTGTGAGTAAAACTGAGCTTTCTGAAGGCAGGAATCAGCCTTGCCCACTGCACTCCTCCGCAGCAGCTCCTAAAATCCTGCCTACACTGGGACTGTGCTCAGGAGGTCTCTGGAGTGAGGAAGAAACCCCAGCTTCCTCTCCTGTAAAATGGGGAGTGAAGAAGCCTCTGTGTAGGGCGGTCAAAGTAGTCAGTGAGTCAGAGCGTATCAAAGCATCAGCATTGCACCTGATACATGGCAGGAACGCTGGATGCAACACTCCCAACCCAGCGTTACCTGGCTATGAGGCCATACAGGTCCAGCAGGGGTTTGCAGAGCCTCTTCAGTGTCCGTGAGAATGTGGCCTCAGCCCAGGACAGCATCTGGTGGGCCACCTAGAAAGGGAAAGGACAGTGAAAGCTGTCTCTGTTGTCCTCAACTGCCAGCCACGCCCCATCCTTGCTCTCACTCACCAGCTCCAGGGTGCCTTTCACAGCCCCCAGCATCACCCTGATGGGCCTGGGATCCTGGTTGCCTGGGATCCGGGCACCCAGGCCTGTAGCCACCACATGGCCTCCTCTTCCCGCTCCCGCCACACCTTCTTCAGGGGCCACAGCACCAATTCCAGATAGGAGTCCTTCAGTCCAGGGGCCCTGCAACTGGCAGCCAACACCCACCATGAGGCCCCTAGGCAGCTCAGAGGCCCAGCCTAGGCCTCAAGGAGATAGGGCCTCTTCCTGGGATTATGATGGGGGGAGTGGAGGAAAAGGAATAGAGCAGCAGGCACTGGAGATTGCGAGTGAGTTGTCACAGCAGACCCGAGCTGCCTCTGCGTGGCCTGCTCATAGCTTGTCTGGGAACTTGGATCGGGGGAGGGTTCCCACCAATCCTAGAAGTGATACGAGGTGCTCTGCACCTGAACTGTTTATACAAATGTGGTTTATGCCAGACCCCTGCTTGCCTCCTAGAAGTCTGACAGTGTGCTCTGAGCCAAGCAGCACCTGCTAATTAGGCAGCCCCACCGAACACCCTGGGTGACATAGTGCTGGGACAGCCAAATACGTCCCCTGTGAAGGTGCAGGGACTGGGAGAGGACACTAGGTGCTAGCCCTGGTTCACCCTGGACTCCGCCCTGGCCCCCTTCCCTGTGCCAACACTCCTGCCTCCTCTCACTGTAGTCAATGACAGCCGCAAACAGCACAGTGTGCAGAGTCCTGGAGCACTCTTTCAAATTCACTACTTTGTGGGTGGCCATGGGACTCTGGGGCAGCAGAGAGGCTGTGGAGGTGATATTCAACAGCTAGTCAGAGGGACGCCCACCCTGGCATTGGGCAAGGTCTTAGCCCCAGATGGTGGAGAGGTCAGAAGTTCCTAGTCCTGCCAGGAGGGTAGTTGGGGCAGCCGCTGTGAGTGTTTAACGACCACACAGCCACAAAAAGCTCATCATGGAACCAGAAAGAGACCCTGTGGCAGTGAGCTTCACAGAAACAAGGCTGTACACTCAAAAGAAAGCAGGCAGAAGACTGAAGAAACTGAGGCAGGAGGCATAAGGGATATTAGCTGGGAGACCTTGTAAGAATAAGACAGAAGCCCATGAAAGAAAGAAGGTTGGGTCAGGCACAGTGGCTCACACTTATAATCCCAGCACTTGGGGAGGCTGAGGCGGCCAGATCACGAGGTCAAGAGATCAAGACCATTCTGGCCAAGATGGTGAAACCCTATCTCTACTAAAAACACAAAAATGAGCCAGGTATTGTGGTGCATGCTTGTAGTCCCAGCTACTTGGGAGGCTGAGGCAGGAGAATCACTTGAATATGGGAGGCAGAGGTTGCATTGAACCGAGATCATGCCACTATGCTCCAGTCTGGTGACACAGTGAGACTCCACCTCAAAAAAAGTAAACCACCGCCATTTGCATGACTGGATGAGAAAAGGAAAAAAAAAATGTACAAGGTTAAGTGCATGCTGTATAAGAATCACCACCGGTTCAGCTACTGAGCACACCATCGTTCCTAATTCAGCAAAATAACCCCCACTCTGGGAAAAACTAAAAACGAACTGCTGTTTCAAAAATGCATTTTTACGGTTGGAAATCTGTGTTTTCCAAGTCCTCCCTTTAGTCCTTGGCACTGTGACAAGGGTTTTTTACCCCTGGGGATACAAAAGGGAGAGTCATCAAGGCTGAGTTTCAGCTCCCTGCATCCTTACAGCCACAGCCAGAGGGCCATGAGGGGTTCCCTAGCTCCCACC